CGACATTCGCGTTCCGCGTCACGCTGCGCGCCCCCTCCCCGCGCCCCCCCCCAGCGCCCCCCAGCGGCCCGCCGGGGCCTCCGTCAAACGCCCCCCTCCGCCCCGACCTTGCATTTTGCATTCCGCGTCTCGCCGAGCCCAGGCCCTCCCCCTCCCAGCGCCCTCCGCCGCACCACCCTGCCCCGCCCCTCTCCAGCGGCCAGCCGCACCTGCCACCCCTTTCCCCGCCCCCCCCGCTTCGCGCCCCAGCGTTCCCCCGAGAGCCCCCGCCCCTGCACCCCGATCGCGTCATTCCGCGTCGCATTGAGCCCCGCCACGCCGCGCTCTGCCCCGCCCCGCCGCCCCCCCCCCCTCCGCCCCAGCGTTCCCCGGCTGCCCAGTGGAGCCACCGCCCAGTGCGCCCCCCCCACCGACGCTTGCACTCCGCGTCGCACCGCGCCCCCCCCCCCCTCCCCACGCGCGCACCCCGCCCCATCTCTCCCGGGCGTTCCCCAGCGGCCCAGCGGAACCTCCGCCCAGCGCCCCGCTCCGCCCCGACCACTTTACTCCGCGTCGCGCGGCGCGCCCCGCTCCCGCGCCTCATCCTCCCTTTCCCCAGCGGCCCAGCGGATCCCCCGCCCGCCCCGCGCTCGCTCCGCTTCCGTTTCGGGCCCCATCCTCTGTAAATTCGTTGGGTGTTTTTGAACCCCCCCTGGGAGCACGCTGAAAGTCTTGGAGGCCATCCGCGGGAGGGGGCCCATGGGGCATCCTCGAGCACGCACTGTCAAGCCCATATTGCGGCCCTCGTTGGGCCCTCCTTATCCGATTTCTCGCGCCCTATATCCCTTCCCCGTCCTCCTCCTTCACCTCCTCATCCTTCCCCCTCCCTTCTGTGCAAGAGCCATGGCGCGCGCGCCGCTTGTTTGAGCTTTGCTCTAGCTTTGTTTGAGCTGTGGTTGGGGCTGCGGTTGAGCTTTGTTTGAGCTTCGCTGGGACTTTGTTTGCGCTTTGCTTGAGCTTATTCGGAGCTTATGTGAGCTGCGCGTCAGCTTGGTTTGAACTGTGCTTGAACTTCGGTTGAGTTTTATGTGAGCTTTGTTTGAGCTGTGGTGAAGCTTTGTGCGAGCTCTGGTTGGGCCTGTGTTTGCGCTTTGTTCGAGCTTTGCTTGAACTTTGATTGAGCTTTGTTTGAGCTTTGCTAGCGCTTTCTTCGAGCTTTTTGTCCGCGAATCGGACGAGGCTGCCCGGCATAACACTGACAGTGAGCTCGTCCGCCCTCTTCAGGTTTGATTCCGGGCAGAAAAGAGGACCGCCCTCCCCCCCCCGCCCGCCCGGTCCCAACCGCAGGAAGGGGGTTCGCTCTCCCCCCCCGAGGGTTCGGATTGGGCGGGAGGTTGTTTTAGCGCCCCTCCTGGTTCGAACTGGGGGGGATGGCCAGCAACGGCAACAGGCGCTAATTCGAGGTTCCCGAGAAGGGGAAGCCAACCGACATTTCGAGCCTTCCGCCCCAAGAGGCCGCCTGGAGGCCCCAAGAGGCGCCCGAGAAGCCCCCAGGAGGCCTCCAAGAGGCTCAAGAGAGCAACAAGAGCACGTCCAAGAGAACCCCTAGAGGGCAGAACCAACGATGTTTCTTCAGCGTTTGAAAGTTCTTTCGTCCTGAGAGCACCAAGAGAGCTCCAAAAGCACTTCCAAGAGAACACCAAAGGATGTTCCTTCAGCTTCTGAATACTTTTCGTCGTCGCCGTGGTCGTCGCCGTCGCCGCCGTCGCCGCCGCCGCCGTCGTCGTCGTCGTCGTCGTCGTCGTCGACGTCGTCGTTGTCGTCATCCTTCAGGGTCGGCGGCAGCGGCGGTAAGGCCTTCGCAATAATTATCCCCGAACTCGCAGTCGCTTCTGCCCCGCGCGCAACAGCAGAGTGATGAGCACGGGCACCAAGCAACAGGTGCGCCAGCGTTTGAGTCAAGTGCGCACGCGCTCCCCCCCCAAAAAAATGCGCAACCTGCCAGATGTCCCCCCCCCCCTGGACAAAGGGTCGGGGTAAGTATATCGCTGCGGACCTCCTTCTCCTACAGACCTCCTTCTCGTCCTCCTTCTCCTCCCCTCAACTTCTTCCTTTGGCGGCGCGCACAAGAGGGTAGGGGGAGGTAAGGGGGAAAGCTTGTCGGAATGAGGCTGCTTCTCAGAAGGCGCCGGCCTTACATCTACAGACAAAGCCCGCCTCTTCCAAGAAGCAGGGGTGCTTCTACGAAGCGTTACCCCCTCCCCCTACCCTCCTCTAGGCGTGGCTGATTAATATGATTCCTCCTCCTCCTCCTCCTACTCCATTCAGCTCCTTCCTCCTCGTTCCTCGTCTTCATGCCTCACTCTGTTTCCTCCCTCTTGTCCTGCCTCCCCGGGATGGGGGAAGCGTGGAAAGGAAGCGGCGGGTTGGAGCAGGAGGAGGTTGGATGAGAAACAAGCGGGCGCTCCCCGCAGAGTTCTCGGATTGGCGCTGGGCCCCCGGCGCGCACGCGCCAAGGAAGGGGGGGTCCAGCGCCGATCCGGGAAATCCGCGCGGAGTGCAACAGCTCATGTTCGTGCCTGTTTTCTTCTGCGCGAGGCGGGAGGGGGCGCTCTGCTGCGGGGGAACCCGCTGCCGAGGTGGATCCTGGATCAAAATGTCCGATGTCCGACCAACTATAAATGGGGGAGCCGTTGTCATCACCCCCCTGAGGAGCCCATCGTCGGTTGCGTGATAATCGACCCCTAACCAAAGAAGCATCACTGCCCACGTTGGACATAAGTTGACGGTTCTCTGTCGCTGTACGTAGTGAACCATGGGCCAAGTCTACATCACGGAGGGGGGGGGCTCGGAAGGGGCATGTCATCCCTTGACAACGACCTTGCCACGAATTCGGGGTTCGGAGTCGGATACCACGTAACGAATCGTACCGTCAGCCCCTCGAGAGGGGCCTCGAAGCCGATGGGCCCCTCAGAGGGGCAGAGCGCGCAGCTCCCCCCGCCGTGGCAGGTCTGGGCGCACCCCCGCGGCGCTGCCGAAGCAGCGCTGGCCGCAGGCTCAAAAGAGAGGGCGGAGGCGCGGCTCTGGGGCGGAAGCAGGTGGCGACATTCGAACCCCTGCACCCACCAAACATCTGCTCTCTCGAGTCGGCGGAAGCGGGGGCGGGGCTCGGAGTTCGCCACGCGTTCGACGAATTCCGAACACTGCCCCCGCCGCGCCTCCGCGTTGCCTGAACCGTTGATCGGCGAGGGCAGGGTTCGGACTTCGCCGCCAAGGAAGGGGGCGGCGGAAGCGCAACGCCCCCGCTGCCGATTAGCGACGCATCCGCGACTTCCGTGCGCGGGCTGGCGCCCGTCGGATCGGGCGCGCTCCTCTGGCGGGGAGGGGGTGAAGGCCAGAGGAGGACGATGCCGACTGAATGGAGGACGAAAAAACTGCATAACAATATACTGTTGGAGCTCCGCGCGGGCTTCTTGACCGGCGCCGCCTCTGGCGCGCTCCGCGCGCCATGGAGATGCGTCCAGCACAGCTCCGAGAAGGCCGCGCGGAGCTCCACAAATTTATGCTTATGCCGTTTCTTCTTCTCCTTCTTCTTCGTCGACGGAACGATACAAGAATCGGCCACCGCAACGTCATTAGCGTCGGGGGCACGTGGCATTAGAAGGACTCGCACGCTGCATTGGCACCGTGCTGTGCGCATGAGCATCGTTTATCCGACCCCTGTCCCCAACAGCGTGTCCTGGGCCCCACTGGCCGATTTACCCCCCTAGATGGGGATATATAGGGGATATAGGCTGCTCCATTCGGGCTTCGAGGGGTACGGCGTGGTAAAAAGGTGGGGTTCGGAATGGAGAGGAGGCGGACCCGGACAAGAAGGAAGGGCAGGGAGAGGTCCAGGTGAGCTTGGAGGCGAGGAGCGAGGGAGGCGAAGCGAGGCAAGGCGAGGGAGGCGAGGCGAGTGAGGGAGGCGAGGGAGGGAGGGAGGTGAGGCGAGCGAGGCTGCAGGCGAGGAAGGGTCGGTTAAACCATGCTTTGTGCAGCGCGTCGGCCCAAGGGGCGGGCCGAGCCTCGCCAGCAGCTGCTGCAGCCCGCGCCAACGAGCGGCGACGCCGGCTATCCACCCGTCGGGTGTCCCCTGGCCTAAAGTGCGCCCAGGATTCTCGGTGGTGTCCAGGCGGCCTCCAGAGCGCCCCATCACGAGTCCCAGATGGGGAGGAGGAGGGGGAGGAGGGAGGGAAAGGAGGAGGGGGAGGGAAAGGAGGAGGGGGAGGAGGGGCCCTGGCCAGGGCCAGCCTGGGCGCTGGGTCGGCCCCCAGCCTTTCTGGAAGGCCCAGGGCCACACGAGTAAATAGACACACGTCTCAGGATTTCCAATACTCTTACAAATTTTATGGATGTTCGTATTCCCCGCCACTTCCCATAGTTTCCAGAATTTCCTTCGAATCGACGATAACTTGTGTCTGTGTGTTTTTTCCCCCTCCCGACATTCGGCGGCGCGCTCAGGGGGCGAGTGCAGAGGGGGCGGGCCTCCTTAGAAGGCTCAGAATGGCTCCTGCCCTTGCGAAGAGATAGGGACTTCTGAGCCTTCTTCGAAGTCAAATGGCTTCTCAGTAATTCGGCCAGAGGGCTTCTGAGAAGCCCCGCTGACTCCCGAGAGGGTCAACCCCTTCTCACTTAACTACCCTCTCGGCGCGCCGCCGAGAATTGGCCTGGCCAGGGTGGTACACATGGATGGCCGGCGTCCCGTATAGCAGAGAGAGTGCGGGCCCGAGGAGGCAAGAAGGGGCGACAGAAACGTGCATTGCATGCCGGGCACCGAGCCTCGAGTTTCCTCGAAGCTCGTCCTCGTCCTTCTCGTCTTTCTCCTCCTCCTCCAGCTCCTCTTCCTCCTTTTTCCCTACCTAGGCTCTGCCTAGAAGGGTTCTTACTCTCTAGCTTAAAGGGGCCGGGCAATGGAAAGCGCCCCGGGCGGTTCCCCCAGTCCCCTGGGAGCGGTTCCCCCCAGTCCCCTGGGAGCTTTA